ACCAACAGTGCAGGAGAATTTTTTCCCCCGCAGCCTCTCCAGCATTTGTTGTTGGTAGTTTTCTTGATCCTGGCCATTCTTTCTGGAGTGAGATGGAATCTCAGTGGGGTTTTAATTTGCATTTCTCTAATGACTAATGATGATGTGCATTTTTTCACGTATTTATTTGCCATTTGTAGTTCTTCATCTGAAAACTGTATTCATCTCAGATGCCCAATTTTGGATTGGGCATTTGAATTTTGGGGATAAGATTTTCTTTAATTCTTTATATGTTTTAGACAGAAGTCCTTTGTCTGAGGGACAGTTCAGTAAGATTTTTTCCTAGTTTGTGAGTTTACCTTTCACTATGTTGGAGATTTCTTTTAACATGCAGAAACTTTTTAACAAGACGTGATCCCAGTTATTGATTCTGGGTAGTATTTCCTGTACGGTTTGATTTCTGTTCATGAATTCTCTACCTACCCCTATATCTTCAAGATTTTTACCTGATTTGTCTTCCAACAGACTTAGTGTTTCTGTTTTATTATTCAGATGTTTGATCCATTGAGATTTTAGTTTAGTACATGGTGATAGGCATGGGTCTAGTTTTAGTTGTCAGCATATTGAGAGCCAGGTTTTCCAGCACCATTTATTAAAGAAGCTGTCATTCTTCCAGTGAACATGTTTGGTCCCTTTATCAAGGTTAAGTGTGTTGGTAGTTGTGGTTGTATCTTCTAATCTATTCCACTGATTTTTGATTCTGTTTTTATTCTAGTACCATGTTGATTTTATTACAGTAGCTTTGTAGTATAACTTCATATCAGGGATTGTGATGCCTCCTGGCTTGCCTTTGCTGCTTAGAATTGACTTTGATATTCTAGATCTCTTCTGGTTCCAGATAAATTTTAGGAGTGATTTCTCTAGATCTATGAGGGATGTTGATGGTATTTCCATTGGGATTGCATTGAGTATGCATAACAGTTTTGGGATAATGGCCATTTTCACAATATTTGTTCTTCCTATCCATCAACAATGGATGTCTTCCATTTTCTGAGATCCTCTTTGATTTTTTTTCAGGGTATTATAATTTTCCCTGAATAGATCTTTTATGTATTTCATGAGATTAATTCATAAGTATTTCATTTTTTTTTTTTTGGATCCTAGTGTGAAGTTTGTGGATTCACTTATTTTTCTCTCATTGATTTTGTTGTTAGTGTATTGGAATGCTATTGATTTTTGAATACTGACTTTGTATCCAGCTACAGTGCTGAATTTATGTATTGTACCTAGGAGTCTTTCAATGGAGTTTTGGGGGTCTTCTATGTAGAGTATCATGTCATCTGCAAATAATAATAATATAATAATAATTTAACTTCCTCTTTTCCAGTCTTTACCCCTTTTATTTCTCGCTCTTGTCTAGTTGCTCTGGCTAGTATTTCCAGTACTATGTTGAAAGGAGTCGTCATAAGGGACATCCTTGTCTTGTGCCTGATTTTAAGGTAAATGTTCTAAGTTTTTGGTCATTTAATATGATGCTGGCTGTAGGTTTGTTATGGATGGCCTTTATCACATTGAGGTAAAGACCATCTATTCCAATTCTCTGTAAGGTTCTTACCATGAACAAATGTTGGACCTTATCAAAAGCTTTTTCTGCATCTATCAAAATGATCATATGATTCTCTCTTTTGGCTTTATTGATATGGGGGATTACATTTATTGATGTAGTATGCTGAGTGATCCCTGCATGTCTGGGATGGATCCAACTTGGTCATGGTATATAGTTTTCTTGATGATTTGCTGCATCTTGTTTGCCAAAATTTTATTGAGCGTTTTTGCATCTATGTTCACTAGGGAGATTGGCCTGTAGTTCTCTTTTTTAGTTAGATCTGTCTCAGGTTAGGGTACTAGAGTATTATTTGCTTCCAGGAATAAGTTAGGAAGAATTGCTTCCCTTTCAATTTCATTGAAGAGTTTGAGGAGTGTCGACATTAAGTCTTCTTTGTATTTCTTGTAGAATTCCTCAGTGAATCCTTCTGGGCCTGGGCTTTTCTTTGTAGGTATGAACTTAATTACATTTTCAGTTTCATTAATAGAAATTGGGTTACTCAGCAGTTTTACATCTTCTTAACCCAGCTATGGTACTTCATATGTTTGTAGGAATCTGTCCACTTCTTCTGTGTTATTGAACCTATGAGAGTAGTTTTTCAAATAGGTGTTGATGATCTTCTGTCTTTTCATAAAATCTATAGTGATTTCACCTTTTTCATTCCCTACTGCATGAATTTGATCTTTTTCTTTCCCTTTTTTAAATAAAGTTGGCTAGAGGCTTATCAATTTTATTTATTCTTTCAAAGAATCAACTCTTTGATTCATTGATTCTTTGTATTGTTTTCTTAGTCTCTATTGCATAATTTCTGCTCTGATTTTTATAATTTCCTCCCTTACTTTTGACTTTGGGCTTGACTTGCTCTTCTTTTTCTAGATGTTTGAGGGGTAGTATCAGGTTGTTTATTTGTGTTCTTTTTGTTTTCTGGATGTGGGAATTCAGTGCAATATGTTTTCCTCTAATGGTTTATTCATTGCATCCCACAGATTCTGGTAAGTTGTATTTGTATTTTCATTTGCTTGTAGGTATTGCTTAATTTATTCTTTAATTTCCCCTGTAACCCAATGATTGCTCAAGAGTGTATTATTTAATTTCAATGTGTTTGTGGGGTTTTTGCAGTTTCTTTTGTCATTGATTTCTAGTTTAATAGTGCTATCATCTGATAACATGCATGGGATAATTTCAATTCTTTTGCATTTACTTAAATATGTTCTGTGGGCTAGTATATGATCTATTCTAGAGAATGTCCCATGTACTGCTGAGAAGAATGTATATTCTGATGTTGTTGGATGGAACAACTGGTGTGATTCAGTTCTATTATTTCTTTGTTGATTTTATGTCTGGTTGATCTGTCCTTTTGTATCAATGGTGTGTTCAGTTTTCCTATTATAGTTGTGTTTTTGCTTATTAGATGTTTCATTTCTGTTAATACTTGCTTTGTATAGCTGGGTGCTCTGGAGTTTGGTGCATATATATTTAAGATTGTTATCTCTTCCTCTTGAAGATTTTCCCCAACTAGTATGTTGTGACCTTCTTTATCTCTTCGGATCATTCTTGGTTTGAAGTTCATATTGTCTGCAAAGAGAATGGCTATGCCCACTTTTGTGGGGGAGGGCTCTTGTTGCATGAACTATTGTTTTCCATCCTTTGACTTTCAGTCTATGAGTTTTCTTTTGAGTTAGATTGGTTTCTTGGACAGCATATGACTGGATATTGTTTCTTGATCCATTCTGCCAGTCTGTTTCTTTTAATTGGTGAATTGAGACCATTTATATTAATGGTTATAACTGTTATATATTGGTTTATTGTTGACATGTTATCTTTCTGCTGTTGCATCTTTATCTTTCCATTCTGTTTAATTGTCTGCCTTGCTTAGTGTTTTTTTTCTATGCGTATCTAAACTGTCTTTCAGTATTATTTGCAAGGTTGATTTGGTGATCATGAAGTTCTTCAGCTGTTCTTTGTTGTGAAAGTATCTTGTTTCTCCATCCATTCTGAAGGACAGTTCTGCAGGGTATATCAGTCTAGGTTGGAACTCATTTTCCTTTAGGATCTGAAATATTTAGCCACATGCTCTTCTTGACTTCATTGTTTGTGTTGAGAAGTCTGCTGTGATTCTGATAGGTTTTCCTTTATAGGTGATCTGTCTTTTCTCTCTAATAGCCTTTAATATTCTATTTTTATGTTGGATTTCTGGGATGGTGATTATTATATGTCTGGGTGTAGTTTTATTTTGGTTATGGTTACTTGGAGTTCTATATGCTTCAGTAATAAAAAGTCAGTTTCCATTCTCATGTTTGGGAAATTTTCAGCTATTACTTCTATGAATATCCTCTTGATATCATTTGTGTTGTCCCCCTTTTTTTTCATTTATCCATATCAATCTTATGTTGTTTTTCTTTGCATCATCTAGCAGCTGTTAAATTGTTATTTTCTGATTCCTTCTTATTTTTAAAAGATCTTTCCTTTCCTGTTCATTATCAATCTTGTCTTTTAGGTCTGAAATTCTATCTTCACTTTCGCTGAAGTAGTTTTGACAACTTTCAATGGAATTTTTGATTTCCTGTATATCTCTTTGAATCTGCTTCCTATATTGTTTGCTTTGTTCCTCTAATTTTTTAATTGTGCCTTCTTTACATGTGTTCACATCTCTTTCATTACTTTTATCATTTTTCTTTTATCTGGGAGATTATTTCTAATTTGAATTCCTTTAAAGCTTCCCAGAGTTGCTTCTTTATTTCAGTTGCTATTATTTTAGGTATTTCAGGTGTATGGCATATATTTTCTTCTATGTACATGGTTCCTAGGCTTTCTTGGGATGGGCTGGAAATTTGAGATTGCATTTTAGTCTTTCGTCTTGTCATTCTCCTATATTTCTGTGTTTTGAGCGATGTTCCAAGGCTTCCCCTGGGTGTGTTGTAAATAACCTCCTATGCCCTCAGCTCCTGCGACTCAATGGAGGTTGCTCAGCGTAATCCAGTCAGGCCCACAGGACCTCCCGTGCCACCTCCAGTGTTCCAGGAAGTTGGGCGGGCTCCTAACCACTGTGAGTGGTGGTCCCAAGCTCTCCCCGGGCAAGCACTGATGTGCTGGAGCTCACTTCACAAGCCCTCAGCTCCCCTGATTGAGAAAGGTTGCTGGGCATTTTCTAGTCAGGCCACAAAACCTCCCAAACCTCGTCTAGTGTGGCTGGAAGGTGCCTGGGCACTTAACCACTGGGAGCAATGATCTTAAACTCTCCTGTAGCCCAGCTGGTGTGCTGGAACTCAGCTCCAGCAGCCCAGTTCAGTGTTTACATTTTTTAAGGCCTCAGTGAATCCACCTGTGTATGTGGATGCCCTTTAGAGAAACTCCTGATATGACAAGCCCTGGAGAGCATCCCCAGAAGGATAGAGGAAAAGGATGAGTCTCTCACCAATTCCTCTGAGCTGTCCAGAGACCAGGAGGCACCTTCTAGTTGGCCACCACGCCCTGTGATGGGTGTAATAAGAATTATCAGTCAGGAGACAGTCAGTGGACACTCATCCCCTACCGGCCCCATCCGGTTCCCCAGCCTTGTCGCTTGATGCAGTTCTGAGGGCTGAACAATCTCCCGCACTGTAGCAAAGACAGCATTTGAAAGTCTGTCCCAAAGCCAGGGACAGGTGGACTGCACCCCTGCCCAGAATGGATTCTTTTCCAGAACCACAGGATTGTCAGGGCTGGGTGTGCTATGAGGCATCATCCCCAGCAAGTTAAATAAAATGCCAAGTGCTTACTCTGCTAGACCAGAGTTTTTATTACATTGTCTTCTAAGGAAATTAGTGTACCGATAGATCTGTAAGGTCCTGTGAGAGAATCGAGTGATAAACGTAGGCCATATAGATTATTTTTCCCAATAGAGAATAGTAGGAGAGAATCTCCATTTAGAATAAATGTAAAATTTGTACTCTGAATCTACATATTCTTTCTTTTTATCTTTACCTTTGCATCTATATACTTATACTTGACATTATACATTGTATATATGTGGGTGTGTTGGGAGATAGAGACATAGAGACTTTTTAAAGTATATATTATGTTATGTTATTTAAAATATTACCAGAATGGCCACACCAGGTTTGGTGACTGGGATACTGCTATGGATCATGTATCCGTTTTGAATCAATTACCTCTTAAAATAACACTACTGGTTTCCCAGTAGAAAAATGACTTCACTAAGGAAACTTCTGTGAGTTTCCATTGAAGGGTGAATGCACAAAATGGGAAAATTGACAAGAAGTTCACTAAAGTAGGTGAAAACAGAACCTGAACTGGCATTTGGAAATGTCCACACTGTCATGAAAGTGTCAGCACAACTGTGGTATGTTTGATGACTGAACTAAACAATCATCAAAGGATCCACGACAAGTGGTAAGAAAAGAGGGCTTATGAAACCGCTGTGTACCAATGGCCGTATTTCTAAAATACACTGATTATGGGTGGTGAGGTGGGATATGTGCTGGTACACGTAAGGTGGAGCTTTAGACCTTAATGGAGTGATGTTTGTTGCACATTCACCTTCAGGAAGGAGAACACACACGTGGTTTTCATGAAACTGTCTATGCTTGACATTTCCTACTGTTAAACAAGCAGGAAAAATACAAATGTAAACATTATTTTTTCATACACATGCATTTATATGTAAATATGTAATATGTATAAATATATAAATACATGTGTGTAAATAGGTGTGTCAATGCATGGACAGGATATAAGAATACACACATGTATTTCATTATTTTTTGGTAGCCACCTCTACATGGGAACTGAGATGATTCATAGCGACAGAATTATGCAGAATAAGCAGAGAGGTTAGGGTGCATTTCTGGTCCTAGGGATCAGGTACCATAACTAAAAAGAAGAGGACATGTCAAATGACAGCTTTCCCTTCAGAGATGAGACCCAATTATTTTCTCTCTCAATTCTCCTGCACTACAGAAAACCTAGGAAGAAAACCTTCCCTATCTGGGAAGAAATTTGATAAAGTAACCCTTGGGGAACATACTTGCTCAAGAAAATGGAGCTACAATTGATGACTTTTGAGCCCCTCCCAACAGCCCCACAGTGAAAGCCCAGAGTTTAGCAACCCTTCTTGTTCATACAAAAGTTTCAAACAACATTCACTGCCCTCATTCCTAAGTAAAAATTAGCAGTCAGGGATCTGTAAACATTTTAGGAAATTATTTTAGTTTAAAGACAGAAATAAATGTAAAGGGAAAGGGCATAGAGAAGTTAGAAGAAATCTTAAGAATAAATAAAATTATAATTAAGTTTATAAGAAAAACCATTATCTCCCTAATAGAGTTCAGAAATAGCTCTTAAAATTGAAAACTGTGATGCAGTATATTAATAGTTCAATAGAAGGGTTGAAAGACAAAGTTTAAGATTCATAAAAATCAACAAATATTTCCAAAGATATACAAATTGCCAATAAATGCCCAAAGGCTCCAGATCATTAAAAAGTACAAGTAAAAATCACAATGATATGTTAATTTTGTCAAGTTGAATGTCTAGGATTTAAAAAAAAACAAAATGAAAAAGTATAGTGGAGAATATGGAGGAATGAGAGTTTTCCTGCTTAGCTGGTGGGACTTTAAAATGCCTCTTAAATTTTTCAACATTCTGTCAACGTTAAGCATAAAGTTACCATGTAACCATCAATTAAACTCTTCAATATATATCCAAGAGAATTAAAAAATTATTTACAGAAAGACCTGTGCATGAATGCTCCAGGTAGCTTTGCTCACAATTACTAAGAAGTGAAAACAACTCACACGCCCGTCAATTGGCGGAAGGACAAACAAGATATGATATGTGCAGAAAAATCATGCAGTTTGCTCGTAAAGTGGGGGGAGGGAACTCCTATAACCTAACTGAACCTCAGGAACATGTTCCTTCAAAGACAGCAATCACAAAGGGCACACACGCTGTGAATCCGTGCACATGAAAATCCTTGAATAGGTGAACTAACCAGGAAGTCACAAGGTAGTCGAGGACCTGGGGTGGGGGGAATGGAAAGTGACTTCTGGGGTTTGGATGGTGGTTGTTTTGGAGATTATAGCACTCAACTAAGTGTGTGGAGTGATCATAGCAAAACTCTGCCTACACATTTAAATGAGTACATACTATAGTATTGGATAAAAGGAGCAGCAAAAAATGTCTTAAAAGCTGGGCCTGCCTAGGAGTCCAGCTACTCAAGAGGATGAGAGGGAAGCAACAAGTTTTATACCAGTCTGGGCAACTTGTAAGATCCTAACTAAGTAATAGCACTGGGGACCACAGCCTGGTGGTAGAGCACTTGCCTGGCTTTTTCTAGCCCTCTGGTTCAACCCCCATTACCCCACCACCACCACAAGAAAATATTTCTATAGAAAGCAAAACCAACAGACAGGCACAGACACAGATACTTGTAAAGGGTGGAATCTAGAAGATCAAACACTCAGTTCATATAATTTTCAAGAAATGAAAGAAGTACTAGAGAAGAGAAACTAATTTATAAAGCCAGTGTTTCCTAAACACGGAAGGGCACAACCTTTTAGACATAAAAATCCATTAAACGCAGAGCAGCGTAACGGGAGGCCTAACTGAAATTCTAAACCTCTAGCAATTCAAAAAATGTTCTTCTGTAAGACTTCTAATTAGAAAACCACAAATTATATATTACAATATTGGAATCAGAATGTCACTGAGATTCTTAATGAAAGTATTTCGAGTAAAAGAGAATGACATAGGCACGCCCATGTTTACAGAGGCACAGTTTGTAATAGTTAAGTCTTGGAAACATCCCAAATGCCCATCAACTGATGAATGGATAAAGGAGACTTGGGATTTTAATACAAGGGAGTACTACTCTGCCTTAAAGAAGGCTAGGCTTGAGACATATCTAGCTAAATGGATGCACCTTTAGGACCTGTCCTTAAATGAAATAAACTGGGCACACATAAAAATCCTGCATCGCTTCCCTGGTGTGAGAAAACAAAAGTGTAAATAAGGGCTGAAATGTATCATAGATATTGTGAAATAAGAAGAATGTTCAAATGCAAAAGGGAACTAGGAGAAGGGAGAGGAGAAAAAACCGCAAGAAAAGAAGGAAAAATGGAAACAAAGCTTTTGTAAATACAGAGGGAAAGAGGGATTTAAGGGTGAGTAGGGGGATGGAAAAAAAGAATCAAATTATATCATGTCCAGGTGCAAATTCCCTATGATGAATGTGACCATTATTATAACTAAAATATACCAATAAACTTAATAAAAAAGAGAATGAAAAAATATTAAAAATTAAGACAGAAAACAGTAACTTAGAATTCTATATCCATGTGAACCACAACAATGTACAAATCGAAATCTTGTGAAGGCATCCTCTACTGTAGAGATAAAGAAAGTTTAATATATTAGACTCCAGGGTGGGGATCCAGCGCAGCACACAGGTGAAGGAGCTCTGAGGTGGAGCGACAGGGCAGTAGTTTTTGAAAGAAATGGGTCTACTGGGAATATGCCTAGAAGTGGAATAGCTGGGTCAAGTGGGACTTCCAATCCCAGCTTTCTGAGGAATCTGCAGACTGACCTCCACAAAGGTTGCACCAGTCTACACTCCCACCAACAGTGCAGGAGAGTTCCTTTTTCCCCACAGCCTCTCCAGCATTTGTTGTTAGTTTTCTTGATCCTGGCCATTATTTCTGGAGTGAGATGGAATCTCAGTGTTGTTTTAATTTGCAATTCTCTAATGACTAACGATGATGAACATTTTTTCATGTATTTATTTGCCATTTGGAGTTCTTTGAGAACTGTGTGTTCAACTCAGATGCTCATTTTTGGATTGGCGATATCATACCACAGTGATACATGTGCACCCATGTTTATAGCAGCACAATTTGTAACAGCCAGATCTTGGAAACAACCTAAGTGTCTATCACCTGAGGAATGGATAAAAAAGGTATGATATTTTTATACAAAGGAGTACTACTCAGCTATAAAGAATGAGCACATTGAGATATTTACTAATAAATGGGTGCAACTTGAGACTATACACATGAGCAAAATAAATCAAACTCACATGTATAAATACCCTATAGTCTCCCTAGTGGTAAGAAATGGTAAGAGTACATAAGAGTTTATGGTAATCATGATTCCCCATTACACTGTTTTGAAACCTTATAATGATTGCATTGGTTAGTTGTAATGGGTTTGTTCTTGTTTGTTTGATTTTATTATCTGTGATGGTATGAAGAGCTAATTTGAGGGAAAGCTGTCATTATAACAGCCAGTACTGTTGTAATATCATCTTACTCTGAAGTCCTACCGTGCTTTTGCTCTTCTGTTTCCATTGGCTCTATCATTTTGTACATTATTGGATTGTATTACCTGTGAAAGTATAAACAAATTTTCTATGGAAAATGAGATAATATATTAGTCATTGTTTGTTTTCTGAATGCCCTGTAATACTCTCATTC